TCTTCTTCCGTCCGTAGTCGAAAAAGATCGCAAGTCGAGGTTGTAAGTCTTACGCTGACAAAGAGTGTAGCGCTGATGTGCATGGCGACTTTATTTCCATGTTTGGCAGGTGGCTACACCGGTCGGCTCAATGTTTGGACCAAAGAGTAGACCAAAGCAATGGTCTCTATAGAGACCATGATGCTGTTGCCAAACATTGAGCTTCCGAATACCCGGGGTTGACGAGCACAAGTGAACTTCATACGAATTTATGTCGGTGTAGTTTTGTAGCGAGCCTACTCAGTTGTTCTTAGGTTAAACGAGCTTGCTCTTACCGCTCGGCTTAAGCTCCGGATGCTTCAATTTCCCCGCATTCGGAACGCGTGGCAACACTTGATAAGATCGTCGCTTGTGCGGCCATGAGTGCTGTTATAGGTATAGACGAGGACCGTTTTGCAGGGGGACACCCACAAGTCCTCCGAGTCGACGCAGTAGTGTACGCGTCTCACCCTGGTCTTCAGGACCGTTGTTGTATGGTCGGGTTTGAGCGACACCGAGTTTAGAACCCGGATCTCCTCCTATGTATGACAGGCGTAAGCGGGAGTTTTCGGAGGGAACCGCTGCATAGTAGGATGTTGCAAGAGGGGAAGAGTGCTCTGAGATGTGATATATCGACCAGCTTGATCTGGCCGTGCGACTTAACAATCATTGAGAGCTTATTCGCGGCCCGAGGAAAAGGACATTTGAGGATCGTCGTTAAGGATGGATACATATCTTGGCATCAAATCGTGGGGTTTGCTTGGCTACAGCGGGAGATGGTCCTTGGCTCTGCAGTCTTTCTTGCCAAGTGGGACGGCATAATGTGTCATTCCCAATCTTGGCTTGCTTTCGTAGACGAAGATGACTGGAACTTGAACCTTTGAGGCCGGAGGCAGAAGGGAAAAAATTCGAACGACGGCATGAACTAGGTATCTATCAGCGTCCGTCAGCAGCGGGCAACGTCAACGCATGCAAAGGGAAGCCAGAGTAGGTAGGTACCTACTGTTGACAGCCTCCGATGCCATCCGTAGCTCCCTAGCTCACGCCCACAAGAATCCCACTAAAAAGGCCTTCCCCGCATCACTGCCGATACCCGGGCATTCGTCCATCTCTTAAAAGAGGGCACATGACCACCTCACCACTGATACCACCTTCCACGATCAAGCACCCCCGCCAGTCGAGCAATAACCCCTCCACAACCATGGCGACAGCATCAACGACAGAAACCCCCAACCTCGTCCGTGTCAACCACCACAATGCTAAAACCTTTGCGGCCGCCCTTTTAACGGCCTCCGGCGTGTCCGCCAAGAACGCCGAAATCACCGCCTCTGGGCTCGTCCAAGCTGACCTGCGCGGCGTTGAAAGCCACGGCATCCTGCGATTGCCATCCTACCTCTCACGCGTGCGTAGCGGGGTTTTGGACCCAGCCGCCGAGCCGGAACTAAAGCAGATCACGCCCGTAGTCGCCCAAATAGACGCGAGGAACGGATTCGGCTTCCCCGCCGCGCACCTGGGCATGGACACCGCCATCAAAATGGCGGGCGTCTATGGCATTGGAATGGTAAGCGTCAAGCATAGCAATCACTTTGGCATGTCCGCTTGGATTGTGAAGCAAGCGGTGGATGCGGACATGATGAGTCTGGTTTTTACCAATTCGTCGCCTGCGCTGCCCGTGTGGGGTTCCAAGGAGAAGATGATGGGTGTAAGCCCCATCGCCTGTGGAGCGCCGGGTGGGAAGGGTGAGGGGTCGAAGCCGTTCATCTTGGACATGGCCCCGTCGGTCGCAGCGAGGGGCAAGATCTATAAGGCGCTGAGGAGGGGAGAGAAGATACCGACTGATTGGGCTTTGGATGGGGAGGGCAAGCAGACTGATGATCCGGCCAAGGCGCTGGAAGGCGTGATGCTGCCTATGGGTGGGCCAAAGGGGTCGGCGTTGGCTATAATGATGGATGTCTTCTCCGGCGTGCTTTCGGGTTCTGCGTTTGCTGGAGGCGTCACGGGGCCGTATGATATGTCCAAGCCGGGGGACGTTGGCCACTTCTTCGTGGCCATCAAACCTGACTTGTTCATGAGCCTGGACGAGTTCAGGGAACGCATGGATGTCCTATACCAGAAAGCGGTGGACTCGGAGAAGATGCATGGCGTCGACAGAATTTACTTCCCGGGCGAGATTGAGCAGCTGAACGAGGAGCAGAGATTGAAAGACGGCATACCATATGCCAAGGCAGAGATTGATGCTCTGAATGCAGAGGCTGAAAAGCTAGGCTTGGGCAAGATCCCATTGATAGAGTAAAGCTTCATATATATTGGGTTATTTGCACCTTTGGAGGTGAAATGGGCCAACTCCTTGGTCTGAACCAAGGACGTTTAGGCTAAAGAAGCTGCAGGCGATCACAACAAACCACTGATGATTATTGTGTGATTTGGTCTCTTTTCGAGGGTTAGCGTTGATCCTTTCTTCAATCCATTTTGAAAACTTTACCAAAGGCAGCATCATGGATATCACAAGGGTGGCAAGCAGCTCGCCCTCATGAACTCCGATACCTGCTTTTCCGTGTAGAGCTGTAGGTAGCTGAGATCAGTTGCGCGGTTTTGCCCTAGTGCATCTCAATCAAGATCAACACCCAGTCTATAGATCCAGCCCATCGAGACTTGGTCTTCGTGTTCTGGCATGGCACGGCAGGGTTTCGAATTAATCGGCGCTTGTCAGACAGAGTGTATGGCACTCAACGTCCAGAGACAGGCAAGAAGCAAAGCGTGCTAGCCCACCCTGCTCATTTTTTCTGGGTAGTATCCAGCCGGGCACTCAATCAAGCAGCATAGCCAGCCGCTTGGCAATCGCTTTGTGGGCTATCGAACCCTTGAAAGGTTCAAAAATGGCAATAATAGACTCCAATCAAATGCTCATGGGTCGAGTCCGAGCCCAGCAGCAAATTTTCTTGCCACCCAAGCAGCTCCATGTTCCTCATACTCTTGCTTGGTGACCTCGAGCCTACTAGCATGCTCATGCTTGGCGAAATTGGCAGCTCCCAACCAGGTGCTGATGATAGGGTCTTCCGGGCGGGCAACTCTGACCCTGCATTCATCGGGGAATCGCTTGAGAATCTCTGTTTGCAAGCGCTGACAGAACCCTTCAGAGAGACTGTTTCCTCCCACAACTACAATATTAGCCAGAAGGCCAGGCCACAGTCCAATGGGCACAGCCAAGAGGGACTGCTTGACTAGGTCGGCGATGCCAGGTTGCCGGATGCCGATATCAGAAGGGTTGAAGAGGAGCTCCGGAACAACAAAACGCTCGTTCCGTAGTGTCAGGACGTCCTCTGTGGATATAATGCCCTTGCGGGCGCGCGCCGAGACACCAGGCTCGTAGTCGCGGACAACACCGTGGAAGCGCGTGTGGGAGTCGGGCAGAACGTAGTCTTTGGCGATGCCAGCACCGCTCAAATAGTCCTCCCTCTTTTCGCCGCGCGTGCCTTTCCAAGTCTTTTCCAGGTCTCCCTTGAAGTCCAGGGAGGTGTAACAGACTGCTTCTTTCATCTCGTTCACAATGTATGGTTCGTTGCGCATGTCGAAGTGGCGGACGGACAGTAACCTGGTGAGATAATTGGTCATGAGCTTGCCACCCACATCAAGTCTTCGTATGGCCGGATGTAGCGGTCGGCCTTGGAGGATAGGCGTAACGGTGGTGTGAGAGTAACCCGAGTCGATGAGCAGGATGACTTGGGCTGGACTGTCTATGGTGGATTGGGGTGTTCGGAAGATGGATTGTATGTCCCGGTACGCGTTGAAGACAGGAGCTAGAAAACAAGGTCAGCACCCTTTGCCACAGAACAGCTCTCTAAGATGCTACATACCCAGGCCACGGTAGTAACTCGCAAAGCCATACTCCTCAAAGACGATCTGGTCACAGTGTGTTTGGAGAGAAGGTAATGAATTTGGTTGCTCTGTGAGAATGAGCCTGGTCTCTGATGGGTCGCATTTCTGCGCAGCTTTATCGTCGAAGAACTCGCGATCCCAGATCTCTTTCTGGGCCTCCCAGTTGACGATAAAGCCCTTCTCGACGGGGCGCCTGAAGGCCAATTCGCTGAAGTCCTTGCATTTTTCAAGCTCCGAGCCGACATAGATCTTCCTGTGACGGTCTCGAGCGAGGCAATTTGGAATTATGCGAGGCTTGCCGTCGCTCTTGTCATCGGAGACGAATCCAGCCTTGATGGTGTCGGCGCCGTTGTCGAGAACCAGGGTTGTCGTGGGGGGTGCCGGCCCCGCCGCCCGGGACTTCTTAGCCCCTCCTCGTCCAGTCATCACAGTACTGAAACAACAGCTGCTGACAATTGAATCCCTCTCGCGCCCCGGCCCTCGTAGCTTGAAGTGCGTGGGAGAGTCGCGTCGCGGTTGTTGTCGCAAGAACCGTCAATTGTTTGAAATTCCACTTGCATCGACGACCTGCTGATAAGGGGAACGATAAGGGTTATCAGTGCTACCCGGACCTCGACGGGCTGGGGTTCTCTTGCTTGGCATTTCATCATTTCCGCCGCCGCAAGTGCAAAAGACTTGAGACCTGACAGCGCCGGAGAGTGAGAACGGAACCTGCCGGCGCCTGCCCTGCCACTGCTCTGCGGCAACGGGCACAACACACACACACACACAGCGCAGCCTAGTGCCTTGTGGAAATCTCGACTGGGACCGGGCAGCCCTGCCTTCCGTCATCCATCACTTCCACTGTTGAAAGCACACTCCCGCTCCCGTCACGGCAACTGAACTCTGCAACCCGACCACTACACTACAAATTCCATGTTGCCCCACCCAACTTTTACCTCTGACTTTGAAAAAAAATAAATGACAAGGTGAACATTTCCACCTCTCAGCGTATTTTGTCCCCCTTGTGGAATCAACCTCATCCTCTTGTGCTCCGATACCGAGCACTCACTCGATGCGCTTTATCGTGGTCAGTATCGCATAAACCCATAACTGCTAGTTTTAGCATGTCCCAACGATACCAGAACGGCGGTGGCGGCGGCGGCGGTCGACGTCGTGGTAACGACCCTCGGGACGACCGCAATGGCTATCAACAACGCGCGCCGAATGGCCCTCATGGTCTCCCTGCCCGACCTCCCCAGCCGACATCGTACCGTCCCTCCGACAACTACTCCAACCGCAACAACGGTGGCGGTGGCGGTGGAAGAGATCGCGACAATTACCGGCCTCCTCAGGGTGATTTCTCGTTTAGAGTAGAGAAGCCGCCGGGAGTCAGCAATTCGAGCTACGACAACTACCGTCCCAACGACAACAGGCAGTCCTACAATGGCCGCAGAGCCCACTCTCCCAGAGGCGATCGTCGCCACGGAAGACCCAGTGGCCGTGGACGAGGCCGCAACGCTGGCCCCCACGGAGGTTTTAGGAAACCGTGGCGTCCTTTTGTTGCGGCTGAGCGCGAGCTATTGAGCGGCACCCATGAGTCTGGAAATGAAGAGGCCCTCTACAATCCCGAGACGGGTGTGCTCTACCGGAATGTCGACGAACTGTCCGACAGTGATGAGGCCGAGATGGACATCTCTGGAGATGAGGCCGCTGAAGATGCCGAGCCGTCGACCAAGCGTGCTCGCACTGCGCTTGACCAGTCGGCCAGCGACAACAACACTCCCAAGTGGTCCAACCCCGACCCCTACACTGCACTCCCTCCCGAGGGCGCTCGGGAGCGCAAGACCAAGGATGTTGTGCAGATGATCAGAAAGGCTCGTGTGCAAACCGCTGCCGAAACAAAGACCGCGCTCCCCAACGACTTGGACGAGATCATCATGTTCAATTCCGATAGCGACAGTGACATCGAGATTATCCAGGAGGTGAAGCCCACTGGGAAAGCAGCTCGTGATTCCCTTTCTCTTGTTCCCGTCGCGGCTAAGCAGCCCTCCAAGAAGCCCGAGGTTAAGCAGCCTGTGGACAAGAAGCCTGTAACAGGAACTATTGATCTCACAGGCACTGATGACGAAGAGGACTCGGCCCCAGTTCCTCCGGCACCCAGGAACATACCCAAGAACCTACCCAAGACTCGTCCCACGTTCGATGATCCCACTCCTTCTGCTTTGGGTAGCAGGAAGCGTACCCACGACGACGAGATCAAGTTGCCTCATGCTAGGCTGAAGAAGGCAACCAGGGCGCCTGTAGGTGGAAAGATTCAGCCTGAGTGGCGAGCTGTTCCCAAACAGGACTCTTGCCCCTGGATGCGAGATGCCGAAGATCATTCGGCCAGCCCCACGATGGGCCGTTGGCTGCACAAAGAGATCATTGATTTCTACGAATACGTTAAGCCTCGTGCTTTCGAGAAACGTATCCGCGAGGAGGTGCTCGACGAAATTAACAGGTTTGTTCGCAACACCTTTTCTGACGCCGGGGTCTATCCGTTCGGATCGTTCCCGTCCGGACTTTACCTGCCTACCGGTGACATGGACATGGTCCTCTGCTCCGATCAGTTCAAAAGGAACTATCGGGCCAAGTATGACACTCGAAGGACCATGTACAGGCTCAGTGACGCCCTCAAGCAACACAAACTTGCGTTCCAGAACGAGGTTGAGATCATCGCCTTTGCCAAAGTGCCGCTGGTCAAGTGGGTTGACTCCAGGACAGGCCTCAAGATTGATGTATCCTTTGAGAATGACACGGGCTTGCAGGCTATCAAGACGTTCCATGCCTGGAGAGATCAGTTTCCTGTAATGCCTGTTCTGGTCACGTTGATCAAGCATTTCCTTTGCATGAGGGGCCTGAACGAGCCGGTCAACGGCGGTATAGGAGGCTTCACTGTCACCTGCTTGGTCACCAGCATGCTTCAGCTGATGCCCCAAATACAAAGCGGATCTATGGACCCGAACCATCACGTCGGGGATCTCTTGATGCATTTCTTTGACCTCTATGGTAACCGGTTCAACTACCGGACCACGGCGATTTGCCTGAACCCGCCCAAATATCTTCCCAAGGTAAGTGTTCATTATTGTATGCCCTGCGCTCGCTTCGGCTGATGCATTATACAGCACAAGATCAGCACCTTTGCGTACAAGAACTATGACCGATTCTCGATCATCGACCCCAACAACTCGGAGAACGACATTGCTGGCGGCTCCAGTAACACCGGCACGATCGTGGCACTTTTCAAGCAAGCCTATGAACTGCTTGCAGAACGCATGGCGCAGCTAGCTCAGTCCCCTGATAGGCGCAATGCCAGCATTTTGGAGGTCATTTTGGCGGGCAATTACTCGACGTTCCGAAATCAGCGAGCCCATCTGGAGAAGCTGGCAGCGCCTAATGGCCCAGCCGGTCCTCGGAAACGCTAGGTGGTAAGCATTATGCCATGAGTTCTGACGCACGAGTTTCTCTGCTAGGTTCAGTGTCTCCGATGTGTTCAGATATGCGCGACAAAACTCATGCGTATCACGATTGGTTGATGACCGTACACGGAGAGACTTGGCGTTTGTGGCGTTGGCGGAATACGGAATATCTGCATCCAACTGCGGCAGCAACTGAGCGACGCAGATCGGGCCCTGAGATCTCAGTGGCCATGGAAGCATACGATACCCCCTTTGATATGCCTGACGACGGCTCGAATATTTTGCTCTTTCCCCTTGTACCACTTTTCTTGTTTCAGCGCATCTGCCATTCCAAACGGCAGTTCGTCCTGCTACGGACAAGCGCATTCAGCTTTCTGCCATGAGTTCTTATCACTGAACTCTGGGCCCTCTCTGGGGCCGATGCTGACCCCAGCAGATATCTGTATACTATCATAAAGCGGCAAGCGCGTGAACAAAGCTTGCCTCGGCAATCTTTTTGTTGAACATCGGTTTCTCAGTTCATTTAGCTCCGCACCCCCAAAACCCCCCTTCCCCCTTCTCCTATTGTTGCTTTTACCCTCAGCCCTTTGGGGGAAGGGGGGGCTTGGGGCTTCTCATCCATAGGCCCAGTGGGGTTTTCCCACGTAATCAATCTGCCCTTCCTTCTTTCTCCCTGTTCCTTCTTACCTTTGTGACTGACTACAGGCGACTCGCCAGAGTCATTACTACTGACTGCTTATAGGTTCATTGATCGCCATCGAGGCAACACTTTGGACGGGGGATGACAATGCGACGGCTCTTTTTCGGAACTTGAACATTCGACTTCGACCATCATCGTTGATTAACACAACGAAAAACAATTTTACCGAGCGTGGTGGTGACTTGGAGCTTCGTTCCTTATCGCTACCTGCCACCTTTTCTCACTGCACGCACGCTCCTGAGGGGGTGGCTGTGGAGAGGAAGTTAAGGTGGCAGGGCGCAAAAACATGAGGGATAAGAACGGGTTTTGGACCAGGAAGATGACAAATGGTGGAATATTCGGAAGACAACTGATGTGGATGAGAATTTCCCATGCCCGCAAACTGAGCAGAACGCAAAGAGAACATGACCAGAAACCTTTGCAGAACAAGGCCAGTTAACACCACTACAGTAGGGAGTTACTGTTGTCTCTCTGCCGTGTATCTGACCGTTCGTTGATCCGTCTCGAGAGTGATGACTTCTTCAAAACCCCATTTTATGCGTTCGTGTCGATACCAAAAGTTCTCAACCTTAACTCCAGGGGCAGCGCTTCAACCAACTTTGGGGAAAAAAAAAAAAAAAAAAACAGCAAAAAAGAAAAGGAAAGATAAATTACCAAGCAACGTTAATCAAAAGTCAACCCTCCATCCAGCAAGGTACTCGCCTAGGTACGTTACGAAGACATGTCCTCCTGGGCAGCAAAAGGACATTACACTGATTAAGAACGAAGAGGAATATCTAGACTAGTAGGTACTGACTGCATGTATCGCGCACCTGGAATGGAATGTCCAGCCGGGGCCCCCTATAATGCAGAAATATAATCACCAACGAACAGAAGAAGAAAAATAAAAATAAAATGAAAACATGTGGAAAAAGTGCAAAAAATTGGGACCTGGGAGGCTCGAACTCCCGACCTCAGGATTACTCTGAACTGTTTTTTTGGTTGGTAAGTCACCCAGTCAAATCATACATGTGAGTAGTATGAGACCTGCGCGCTAGCCAACTGCGCCAAGGTCCCAGTTGAATGTTTATTGTTGTTGAGAAGGGGAAATGATAAAATGGCTCATAAAGGAAAGGGTAAAGAATAAAGAGTAAGGTGGACCGGTTGGTGGAAGAACTGATGAGGGAATTTGGAAAATGTGGTGGAGTGGAAATGTGGTTGAAAGCGGAACCGCCGAGCCCTCGGGAGCGGGAAGCCGGCCGGGGCGATCGAGTATGAGATGGAGATCGGGGATTGGGGATTGGGGATTGGGACCAGTTGGACTGGACAACGGACAATAGGTCAGGAGTAAGAGAGACAATGGGAAGGAAGGAATCTGGCGTACCGGCATATATGATAAATACAAGAACTTCGGAGGGAACAGTAACGAGAAATAAGTTTCGCTGTTTGGTACTTGAGAATAGTCAAATCACAAGTTGATCATGGCAGGATAGCAGCTTGGATTCCATGGGCGATCAATGCACTTAAAAAAAAAAGAGAAAAAAGAGAGAATACCTGGTCGACATGTGCAATGACGGCAGCCAAAGTGTAACACAACGAAAGAGAAAAAAAGTCCAAAAAAGAAATTCCCCTCGACCGGAATCGAGCCGGTGACCTTTCGGTATACAATCTAGACAATTACAGCCGAACGTGATATCCAACTACACCACAAGGGGTTTTATTTGTTGTATGAGCACTTGCGAAATGGCACTTATAAGCCCTACACAATGCTCCCCGCATCGTAGCAACAAACAGGGCTCTACTGTGTCAATGTTGCCTCGCCCATCACTCCTTCCTTCCTTGTTCTGCACAAGGAAGTCATGTCAGACTAGGTACTTGACAGAGAAGATACCGACACGTTTCTGTAAAATAATACTTTACGAGCCTAGGTCAATTATATATAACTCATTGTGCGACGACGAATCATTCTTCCTGTCATGTTCGAAAACACACATCTTCGAAGCCAAACAATCTTGATTGTCGTACGCTGTTGTCTGTGATATGGTCGAATATCCTTCCCTACTGACTGGAGTCACTCATTACCTTGAACGTGATGGTTCTCTGTTCTCCTATCCATAGACTTTCCTTCCAGTTTTCAAACGAGAAAAAAACGCAATGGCAACCTACTTAACCACTTCCACGCCAAAGTGCCAAACGCAAGAAAATCATCCCTGTTAGGTAACCACGGGCAAGACTCCAGAATCTAAATTCGTCAATGGTCAATGAGCAGCCATGAAGCTCCTTATTATCTCCGTCTCTGGGTGCCGTTGAATTTGTCCTATTAAGAAAAGAACCGAAAAAAAACCCTTAGGGATAATGTGTTTGACAACAGTGGCGGGCAAGACAAAGTTGGTAGTAGGTGGTTGTGGAATATACAAAATCAATTGGTCCTCCTAGATGTTCTTTCTTCTCCCTGGCACATGCAGACAACCTTGACGAGTCAATGGTGGTATTGGTAATGGTGTTGCTCTTCCATACGCCTAACATCCTTCTTTGCTTCCTTCCTTCCTTTTTTTCCTTCTCAACTTGATCAATCTTCGCACTTCCTACTCCTACACCAAGAGCTTATTGTCTCTTGCGGTTTGGACTGTTTCTGTGATTCCGGGTGCTCTTCCTAGCCTGTGTTTCTGTGCTTGTTTTCTGTGTTTCTCTTGTTTTCGCTGCCAGTAACTGATCACAGCGTGACCTGTGTCGCATGCTCCACAGTTGTCTCGTTGCCGACATGCTTCGAGTCGCTGGCAGTACTGACGTCCCCGACCGATGTCGCTGGGGAATCGAGCGTGATAGTTAACCGGGGAGGTTGCGGGTTAATCTCCGAGTCCTGCTCCGAAATACCGGTCGTCTGCGAATCCAAGACATGCTCTACATGCTCGCCAGCACCTTCACCAGACTTTGCCGTCTCATCTTCTCCCTCGATTGCTTGCCCGTCGGCATTAATTTGACTGAGACGCTTGCCGGCGTGCTCGCCCTCGATGCTTACGCCAACTACCTCAGCCAAACTTCTAAAGTTGAACATGGGCTCAGTGCTGGTGCTTGGGTCCCTGTCCTGCTCGTCGCCGTCTTCGCTAACCCCAGAACGGCCACCTAAACTGAGACCGCTACCGCGAGGATCCTGGAGGTTAGAGGGTGGCACATAGCTGCCCTGGTTACTTTCCACCGCAGACGAAGATGCAGACGAGGCACTGCTCATCTGGCGAAGATGCGACGGTCCAGCCATCGGCTGGGGAGATGGAATGGGCCGAGCAGAAGCGTCATTGCTCGCTGCGCCCGCACTTCTATCAACGGCTTTACCCTTGTCCTTGGTGTTCGAATCTGGCGCTAGCGCTCCGGGAGCTGCTGGCGTCGTCATGGCGGCACCTGTGGATGCCATAGCGCTGGCTACGCTGGCTTCGACTCGGAGGTTGCTGGCAGCACTATTTCCACGCTTCCTACCGAAACTCAGCCCAGGTAGACTCAGGCTACTTCCACTAGCCGAGCTGTGCCCACTGCGGCTTGCCTCATAGGGTCCGCCCTGTTTCGCTGCGGCTTTGGCTGCTGCCTTCTCTGCCTTCTTTTCTGCCTTCTCCCGTTCCTTTTCGCGTTTCTTTGCCTCCTTCTGTTCCTCCTTTTCAGCCTTCTTCTTGCGCTCCTCTTCCGCAGCCAAGGATAAGCGAATGGCCTCGGCGAACATCATCTCTTCTAGATCTTCCAACCGGCTACGTCGGTTTCCGTTGCCACTAGAACCGGCGGCGCGATCTGTATTGGCAGTAGCACCAGCATTAGCAGGAGTAGCTGGGCCGGTACCCCTATTCTCATCGCCGTTACCAGGAGTAGCCGATGCTGACCCAGAGCCTCCGGTATTCCGACGCCCGAAGCGACTCCTAAGCGCACGAGACTCGTTGTTGTTCATCAAGAACGCTGCTGTGTGTAAGGCTGTCGCAGCAGCAGCGCGCCTCGCCAAGTGTGCTCGTGCGGCCTGCAACTTGGTTGCCCATTCTGGCCGGACTTTATCCGTCAGAACGACATTCGGTGCGTTGGCAGACAATGACTGGTTGCGACGACGGCCACCTGGTGAAGCGACACCGGGAGACAGAGATCCTGAATTGACTGAACTTTCGGACGACATGGCTGCGCTTGTGCTTCCGAGCGCTAGGGGTGAAATGGCATAGGTCAAACCGCGACGGAATGGTGGCGGCTCATAAGTGACGCCAAAGTCGGGTTGCGTGCAGTAGGGGCAGCAAGCGGGCTCAGACACCAAGAGCCCCGCGGACTCCTCAGGATTGTTATTCGGATCGTTTTCGTTGTGTCCCTCTGGGAAATGCGGATCCGGCCGCTTAATCTGGACGAAGCATTCGCTGCAAATGGGCTGGTCACAGCAGCGGGTGTGGTTCAAGTATGGAGGGTACGTCAAGAAGCAGATCGGACATTCGGTAGCGTTCTTGTAGAGGAAAACTTCGAGGGGTTGTCCGTTGACAAAGGGGTCGTTGGGTAACATGATTTCGCGGGGCGCAATTTCTGTACTCGAACCATTGCGACAAGATCCTCCTCCCAAGACAGCAGCAATAGCCTTTCCTCGCGTGGGCTTAAAAGGCGAACTGCTCCCTTTGCCGGAACCGGGAGAAGGCAGCGCAGAGCCCGCATTGGATGTGCTATGCTCAGAAGCTGTGGAAAGGCTGCGACCGCCGATCGGGACTGTCAGGTGGTTGGTATTCGAGCTCGCGTCGGTCGGTGAAGCAGGTGAGCGCGGTCGTGGGATCAACTCATCCGGGGGAGTTTCGCCGGCAGCGGGAATCGGCAGGCCTCGCGCGGCAGCGATGATTTGAGGCTCGGTCCAGTTCTCGTCGAAGTCGTTTAGTCCTCGCCAAAATGGAGCAAGTTTACGCTCAATCTAGAGGGATCATACGAGTTAGGAATATGCTTGATAGGAGTTGATACCATGGCTTTGAGCGCACATACCATCAACTGCCTGACG